CAGTTAAGTACTTTTTAACACAGACACAAAAGATAAAACCGGAACAGATCGATTTTATTCTAGAGTGCATCCAATTAATTTTAATGAATAATTAGTTTTGGTTCAATGAAGAATTTTATTTACAAATATGTGGTTCAGCTATAGAGACCTAGTTATGCCAAACTGTTTATGGTGTATGGGGAACAGAACTTTGTCTATAAAGGGAATGGGTGGGAAACCTTGTCACCTATCGCTGTTACATTGATGATCTATTTTTTATCTGGAGCGGTCCAGAGGACCATCTTAAACAATTTTTAAATCACCTAAATGTTAACAACTGGGGTATAGTTCTTACAGCTAATTTTAGTAAAACATTGGTGGATTCTTTAGATCTAAACATATTTATAGACCACAATAAGATAAATATTAAAACTTTTTTTAAACCTGTGGATGTAAATAGTTATATCCAACCATCTAGTTGCCATTACCACCCGTGGTTAAACGGCATTCCTAAATCACAATTCCTCAGGATAAAAATAAATTGCTCAAGTGAGGAAAATTTTATTAAGCAGGCATCCAAATTAAGTAAAGATTTTAAGGAGAAATGTAATGATGATAATAAAATTAGACCAAGTTTTAATGAACTTTCAACAACAGAAAGAAAATAACTTTTAAAATATAAAAATAAAGAAACAAAATAAGACAAGAGAAACATACCAATTTTATGTGATTTTAGCCAAAATAGTCACAAGTAATGATGTACCAAACGGTTCGCTGGCGAACGGTTCCTGGCGAACATAGCATGTTCGCGTTCGCCCAGCGGGCGAACATATGCGCGGTTCGATCCGCCCCCTATTCGTCATCATTGAGTAAACTTTGACCCTGTACCTCACAGTCAGCAGACACATTCCAGCCAATTAGCAGCACACCCTCCCTAGCAGACCCTCCTACCTACTGGAAGGCATCCATTTTACATTCATTCTCAAGCTGCATGCTTAGTGAGAGGAGGAAAAGTGTAGCTGCTGTTGATTAGATAGGGAAATGCATAGCTAGGGTTACAGTTAGGTATGCTTTTAAAAAAAAATAAAAAATTTATGTAATGTAATTGCAGTTAGTTGTTCAAGCCACTGCCAGCTTCTGTGTCAGGCTCCACAGTGGATACTTTGCCCATTTTCAGTCAGTGCCAAATTACCCTATATCTGGTGTCACAATAGCTTGCATTTAAAAACAAAAAACTTTTTTCACTGTTATAGATTGAATAGCAGTCAGTGTCCTTAAAGCGGGTGTGTCAGGCTCACAGTGGATACTTTGCCCAGTGCCACCACTCACTCACTGGTGTCACAATAGCTTGCATTTAAAAACAAAAAACTTTTTTCACTGTTATAGATTGAATAGCAGTTAGTTGTCTGCCACTGCTGCCAGCTTCTGTGTCAGGCTCACAGTGGATACTGTGCCTATTTGCCCAGTCAGTGCCACCACTCATATCTGGTGTCACAATAGCTTGCATTTAAAAACAAAAAACTTTTTTCACTGTTATAGATTTGAATAGCAGTCAGTGTCCTTAAAGCGGGTAAAATACAATAGTGGATACGGTGACCAGTGCCACCCACTCACTGGTGTCAGAATAGCTTGGATTTAAAACAAAAAACTTTTTTCACCGTTATAGATTGAATAGCAGTCAGTGTCCTTAAAGCGGGTGTGTTACGCTAACAGTGGATACGGTGCCCAGTGCCACCACTCACTGGTGTCATAACAGCTTGGATTTAAAAACAAAAAACTTTTTTCACTGTTATAGATTGAATAGCAGTCAGTGTCCTTAAAGCGGGTGTGTTACGCTAACAGTGGATACGGCGCCCAGTGCCACCACTAACTGGTGTCATAATAGCTTGGATTTAAAAACAAAAAACTTTTTTCACTGTTATAGATTGAATAGCAGTCAGTGTCCTTAAAGCGGGTGTGTTACGCTAACAGTGGATACGCTGACCAGTGCCACTAATTAGATCTGGTGTCACAATAGCTTGGATTTGAAAAACAAACTTTTTCACTGTTATAGATTGAATAGCAGCCGTTGTCTGCCACTGCCGCCAGCTTCTCTGTGTCAGGTCTACAGTGGATACTGTGCCTATTTTCACCAGTGCCACCACTTATATCTGTGTCACAATAGCTTGTAATTTAAAACAAAAACTTTTTCACTGTTATAGATTGAATACAAAGTGTCCTTAAAGCTGGTGTGTTACGCTAACAGTGGATACGGTGACCAGTGCCACCACTTATATCTGGTGTCACAATAGCTTGGATTTAAAAAAACCCACTTTTTTCACTGTTATAGATTGAATAGCAGTCAGTGTCCTTAAAGCGGGTGTCAGGCCTACAGCCTGTGCTCTGCACAACTGTGCCAGTGCACATTGCCACTCATATCTGGTCTCACAGTAGCTTACACGCATAGTACCACTAATCCCCAAAAAAATGACAGGCAGAGGCAGGCCACCCCGCAGGGGCCATCATGGTTGTGGTGCTGTGATTCCCTTTGGCCCTAGAATAATGCCTAGTTTTCAGAGGCCACGTACCCTGAACTTGAAAAGTTCTGAGGACATTGTTGACTGGCTAACAAAGGACACCCAATCTTCTACAGCCTCCGCTCAGAACCTTGACGCACCATCCTCCTCCAGCTTAGCTTCAGGCACCTCTCAAGATACCACTCACCCGCCTGCCGCCACCACCAAAACTAGCACCACAGCCGCTTCAGTTGGTATGTCAGAGGAGTTATTCACACATCCGTTTGAAGAAATGAGTGATGCGCAACCATTATTGCTAGAGGATGTAGATAACAGGGATATGTCTCAGGCAGGCAGCATTACACACATGGACGTACGGTGTGATGATGATGATGATGTTGTACCCGCTGCTGCTTCCTTTGCTGAGTTGTCAGATACAAGTGAAGCGGTTGATGATGACGAGGCGTCCATGGATGTCACGTGGGTGCCCGCTCGTCAAGAAGAAGAACAGGGCGAAAGTTCAGATGGGGAGACAGGGAGGAGGAGGAGACAAGTTGGAAGCAGGGGGAGGTCGTCGCAAGGAGCTAGTGGCACAGTCAGACAGCATGCATCGACACCCGGGGTCAGCCCGACAGCATGCCAATCAGCGCATGCTGTGTCCACCACCAGAATGCCGCCATTGCAGAGCTCAGCAGTGTGGAATTTTTGTGTGTCTGCCTCTGACAACAGCGATGCCATTTGCAACCTGTGCCAAAAGAGTCGTGGGAAGTCCAACACCCACCTAGGTACAACTGCTTTGTGTAGGCACATGATCTCACATCACAAACGCCTATGGGATCAACACATGAGTACAAGCAGCACTCCTACTCTAAGCCGCCATCCTCCTCCTGGTCCAGCATCTTCAGCCACGTCAACCACTGCTGTCCTCCTTGCCCCCTCTCAACCATCCGCCACTCCGTCTCCCGCCTTGAGCAGTTCCCGCTCATCTGCCCACAGTCATGTGTCTGTCAAGGACATGTTTGAGCGCAAGAAGACAATGTCAGAAAGTCACCCCCTTGCTCAGCGTCTGACAGCTGGCTTGTCCGAACTATTAGCCCGCCAGCTTTTACCATACAAGCTGGTGGAGTCTGAGGCATTCCAAAAATTTGTAGCTATTGGGACACCGCAGTGGAAGGTACCCGGCCGAAATTTCTTTTCACAAAAGGCAAATCCCCAACCTGTGTACCTCGACAGTAAAAGGAAATAATGTAGCCGTTCGGCACACAGTGTTGGGGGTAAGGGTCCATCTGACCACTGATACCTGGTCTGTAGCATGGTCAGGCAGGTATATCACCTACACTCCGCGACAAGTGCAAACCTGCTGACGGCCGCCAAGCATGGAATGCGTGGCTCTGCAGAGGAGTTGGTGACACCGCCATGACTTGCAGGCAGGCCTGCTGCCACCTCCTCTACTCCTCCTACTCCATCCTCTTCCATAACCTCCTCGGCTGAGTCCTCTTCTGCTGCTGCGTCCTGCTCCACATCAACGGATAGGGGACGTAACAGGGATTAAACTGATAAGAATAGTACTACTTAACACACCACTCCTATCTGGTGGCACATTAGATTGCACGCGCAGTGCCCAAATTTGTTGTGTTCTGTGAGTAAGGTAAACGGTTGTCCATACAAGTAGGTTGCAGCTTTTTGAGGGCCCACACCACCGCCATGCACTCCTTTTCAATGGCAGTGTATCTACTTCACTGGGCAAAAGTTTACGGCTTAGATAAGCCCCGGGTTGCTCGCCACCATCTGCTCCGACTTAGCTCAGTACTGCTCCCAATCCAAACATAGAAGCGTCTGTATGGATGAGAAAGTGTTTAGTTGGATCAGGAGCAGAAAGTACAGGTGATTTAATGAGCGCCGTCTTGAGCTGTTGGAAGGCCTGTTCACACTCTGGGCCCATACTACTATCTTGGGGAGGTTTTTACGCGTTTCTATATGGCACTTACTGGGCTTTTGGGTCAGTCTGGACTCCCTAATCCGGTCTAGTACGGCTCCTATGTGGGTCAGGTGTTCGGGCCAGGAGCAGCTAAAAATGGCTATATCATCCAAGTAGGTGTGTATCAGTGTGTATCAGGGATCCTTAGACAGGTGTCAATCCATATCTGCCAAGTGACCCCCATGGGGAACAGTCTCATTATGCTCTGTGTCAGTGTGTAATGGTCTCTGAGGACAGGTGTCAATCCATATCTGCCAAGTGACCATGTAGGAGAACAGTCCCTATTCTGATCTGTGTCAGTGTGTATCAGGGATCCCTAGGACAGGTGTCAATCCATATCTGCCAAGTGACCCTATGTAAAAAGGCCTGATGAGATGAGCTGCCTTGGGCTAAAAATGGTCCACACGCTGCTGTATTTTAGCTCTGAATGCCGGTTGACTTGCGTGACTTATCCGCCACCAACTAGGGTTCAAGCCACCATGTTTTAGGGCACTTTCTGCCTGTGAAACAAACATCATTTTTTCTGGCCGCTGCTACAGCAGCGGCTGCAACAATACCAAATTTTTCAGGCATGTGTACATGCCTAATTTTTAGGCCCTCTGGTGCTGCACTGTGGCTTCAAAACTTTTTCACTGTTATAGATTGAATAGCAGTTAGTTGTCTGCAAGCATCAGAAAGTCACCCCCTTGCCCGGCGTCTGACACCTGGCTTGTCTGAACTATTAGCCCGCCAGCTTTTACCATACAATCTGGTGGAGTCTGAGGCGTTCAAAAAAATTGTAGCTATTGGGACACCGCAGTGGAAGGTACCCGGCCAAAATTTCTTTGCGCAAAAGGCAATCCCCAACCTGTACTCGACTGTGCAAAAGGAAGTAATGGCATGTCTGGTACACAGTGTTGGGGCAAGGGTCCATCTGACCACTGATACCTGGTCTGCAAAGCAGTGGGTACTTTATATATGGCTCCACCTGCCACCCGTACAGCAACACAGTCTCCAGTTAGGAGGACCGACCAAGCATCTTCTTCCATCTGCCTGTTACAGAAATTACTGCCGTGTACACGACCACTGATAGGAGACGCGGAAGGTATTAAACCGATAAAAATAGTACTAAACACACCACTCCTATCTGGTGTCACATTAGCTTGACCGCGCAGTGCCCCAAATTTGCAGTAAGAGGACCGACCAAGCATCTTCTTCCATCTCCCTGTTAAAGAAATCACTGCCGTGTACACGTCCACTGATAGGAGACGCGGAAGGTATTAAACTGATAAAAATAGTACTAAACACACCACTCCTATCTGGTGTCACATTAGCTTGACCGCGCAGTGCCCCACATTTGCAGTAAGAGGACCGACCAAGCCTCTTCTTCCATCTCCCTGTTACAAAAATTACTGCCGTGTACACGACCACTGATAGGAGACGCGGAAGGTATTAAACTGATAAAAATAGTACTAAACACACCACTCCTATCTGGTGTCACATTAGCTTGACCGCGCAGTGCCCCAAATTTGCAGTAAGAGGACCGACCAAGCCTCTTCTTCCATCTCCCTGTTACAAAAATCAC